CGTTAGTATAAACAAGTGTTTATGTTTTCAAACCCTCCAAATAAGACATCATTACTACAAAAACAGGACCAAACATAGATGATAATCAATCAGAGGGTCTCTGACCTTACAGATGAGCTCAAGATGGCCGTTGCTCGCAAAGGAGTTATCGCTCAGGCAGCGGTCCACCTCTTCATGCCAGTTCTTCCACTTCACATCAAACTCTGTTAGTGTCTGAGTGCCAGCAGGCTAGAAAATGAAGACAGGAACGCTATCAGCTGGTTTATTCAAAGACATTTTCAACCAATGACAGAAGACGGAAAGAAATAGCAATTACATGTTTTCTAAATTCTGTGCACCCTTTTAATAAGGCTGATTTTAATGTAGTAGGTTGGAAACAAAGCATTTATTTGGGTGTAAGAAGCTCTGCATATAAAGCTTTGCTGGTTCTCACTCTGGAAAGTAATTTTTTTTAGGTCAGAAATCATTATACATCATAACAAAAATAAATTCTTGTGATCGTGAAAGGCATCCAAACTGGAAACCTGTACTTTTTCCAGTATCATATAATTTCATTCATTAACCATAAGCAATAAAGCATACTTCATAGTATACTAACATTGAAAAAGGGCATCTTGCTGAGTAAGCCATCCATTAGCTTATACATGTCCCTGGAGGCTGGCTGTAGGCTGGCCTGTTTCCCCAGCATCTGTCTGGCTTCCTCCAATCTGCCCTGCAGGACGTAACTCACCACCTGCAAACACCAAACACACAACAATTGAGATCTGCCACTGCCTTGAACATCAGTACTACTAGAACCTATTCAGGACCTACCACATCCCAGTAGTTGTGGTGCTCTGCAGGGCTGTCGCTCTGCAGCACGTCCTTTGCCTTCTCCTCCACATCAGCCCTGTGTAACCTCACCCAGTCCAGAAGGTGAAGCAAGAGAGTGCCAGCTGGGAAAATCAAAACAATGTTCGCTTTCATTTCAAGAAAGAAAAAGTGGGAGATCTTCAAAAAGAAGGAAACTGGATCAAAATAAAAAAAAAAATAAAATAGATTTACCAGGGGCAGCTTCAATGAAAAGCACTTCACACAGGTTCCAGATCAGCTCTATGGCCAAAAGAATAGAGACCTGCGGCAAGGCGGCAAAGAGTGGAAAAAGGTCAGAACAATTATCATTTTCTGACACTTTTTGTCATAATAATAAGGCAAATCATATTAATCAAAGCCTTTTACCCTCATAGTCAAACAAAACAATCTAAATTTAAGTTTTCCTGCTTTCTTACAGCTAGGATATCTCTTTTCTATCCGCAAAATGTTCCAGAAATTTACCTTTCCAGCTCCTGCACTAAGGTCACACATTACCTCCCACAAGCTGCTGCAGCCCATGACTGTAAATAGGACTACCTCTATTTCTATAAAAGAGACGTATTGAAAAATCACTTCTGTAATAAACAAAAGCTGAATACATTCCCACTCTACATTGACTTATATTTAATTAGAAGTAGTAATGATTTTGCAGCTTCAGGTATCTAGAAATTGTCCAAAAGGGTGACCTAGATTAGTTCTTCCACATTTAACTGCCAGAGAACACTTCATTAATACAGGAAGCTCTTTTTCCATACATACTAGGGTCGAGCAATTAATTGCTTTTGCAAAATAATTGCTTTTTCAAAATAATTGCAAAGTGACACCATGCAATTTCCAAATTGCAGAGACACTGATATTTATTCACATGATATTTAACAAGAGTAGGACACTAAATTTCACCCTCCAGCCCTTTAGGTGGTGATTAAACACTTGGAGTGGTTTTGTTTTCACACAGAAAGGTAGAGAGAGCTGCAGCTAGCACGTAGATCCATGAATGGAATTAAAGCTATATAACAATGGACTCTGGGCAAGCAAGCTTTCAAAAACCGAAAGCCTGGAGGTGATACAGCTGCAAGTTTGGGGTTAGTGCAAATGAAAATTAAAATAAAAAAACTAATTAAAATTAACCAAAACATTTTTTGGTTAAAAAAGGTTTTTAAAAAATATTTCAGCTCTAATACATACACAACTTTGTTTGGATCAACAAACTGATTAATAATAAAACTTTGTTCACTGTGTCATTTAGAACCGTACTATTTTAGTTTTTTTTTACTTTTAGTTAACAAATACGGTCCAAACCAAAAAATAAACTCTGATTTGTTTCTTGTTGTGGTAAAGTGGAAAGTAAAAAGTGTGAATGAGGTCATTACACTGAGAGGATTGAAACAAGAAAAATCTACATTTTAATAGACGGCAATAAAACACTCTAATAAACCCAGTATATCTAAAGTAGCTGATACATGCCTGATTTCCGTATTGTGTGGCCATTTCGGTATCCCTCGTGGAAACTACAAAAACACATAAATGTACATGAAGGAATTTTTTTTAACCTCAATAAAACAATTCAAAAACATTTCAATCATATTTTCAGGGGAATTACCTGCAACCTGCTGAAGCTCTTCCATGCAAGCCCGAATCACAGATCTATAATTTCTACTGATGCTGACAAATCTATTAAAACGTGACAGACAGGTTACAGATAAAAAATAAATAAATAATTACACAACCTAGAAATGTTTTATTTTATAATAACTTATTTGGCCAAAGATGAGCTAAAATGCTATGTGATCAAATGGTCACTGGACTTACTGGTGTCTTTTGCTCTTGCTGGGGACGTCCTCTTTGATCGTCTGCAGTCCGACAAAGATGTGATGCGACTCATTGAAAAGTTTGCGCAAAATCGGGGAGTATATGTCCTCGTCTTTCCTGACCTTGTGGATGAAGGCTCCACCTGCATCTGGCAGCAGGGAACCTAGAATATGGTAGGAAGACAAACAAGACAGTCACAACCCCCAGAGAGGCAAGGCTGGACAGTCCCAGAAAACTATAGCAACCCTTTATTATTCACAGTGTGTCAAGGTAGAAGCATTAACATACATCTGTTATGTGACAGACCACCTCAAAAACAGGGCTCAGTTGTTAAGGAAGGAAATAAAAATGTGGCATACATTTCTATGCAGCCCCTCTCTAATCTAAGTAATCCAATGTGTGTAACTCAAATTCTGTGACAATACAGACAGCATTTAGAGGTCTTATCTAATCTAATTAGATTTAATTCAGAATTTTTGGCAAAACTTGAGATGAATGTTGACAGAAGCTCGCCATTCAACCTGAGAGTGTGCAATTTTTTTTTATTAATAGGCAGAAAAATTAGTCCTTAAATGTGAAAAGATGCATATCTCCAAAAACCTGCAGATGTAGATGCAAAAAAGGATTGTACTATGTGGAATAGCAATACTTTTAGAATTTATAACCCTTTCATATCTTTCTCATATTGAGTTGGACTATCACAAAAACTCCTATAAAATATAACATTTTCTGGTTGTTACATGATCAAATCTACAAAAAAATAAAATAAAATAATAATAATAATAACAACAACAATGCCTTTGTAAGAGGCAGTTTGCAGACATACCCGATGGCTTAAATTGTGTCTCATAAACAAGAATGTCTCCAGGACCCCAGGCAAAACCCATATGCTTCCCATGTCTGATTCCTGGTATATTCTGTATTGAAACAACATACAAAATGATAGACAAACAAACAAGCAACTCTTTAGATTTAGTGTTCGTGTTCCAAGAGTATCCAGTAATGTACGAACAAAAACAAAAAAACAACAAACACAGTTTCAATTAAACTTTACAATGGATCTCAGGTTTATGTTATTTCTAAAATAATTAAATCAGGCAGCATCAGTCTATCACGCATTAAACATGTTGATAGATAGATAGATGGATGGATAGTTTAGATAGATGATAAATACATAGATGATAGATAAAAACATAGATGATAGATACATAAATGATAGATAGATGGATACATAGATGACAGATACATAGATGATAGATATATAGATACATAGATGATAGATAGATAGATGATAGATACATAGATGACAGATAGATAGATGATAGATACATAGATGACAGATGGATAAACAGATGATAGATACATAGATGACAGATGGATACACAGATGATAGATATACAGATGATAGATAGATACATAATTGCAGTGTGTTAGGGAGCAGAGTTTATTACTATTAGAAACGTTGGCCGTCTTTGCGGGTTCTAAACGCCTTCTTATTCAATGACTGTGAGAATTTGAAACAGATTATCGTTACTTAGCTAAATGGTTAGCAGTGAAACTCTGTCTGGCTGCATTGAATGAATAAAATGAACCTTACAAAGATAACTTACAGTGACTGTCGGGTCAACATCCACTTCCTCCATCAGGGAGCAGTACAACAGATCCTATATGTAGCTAAATTTCGAATAATTCAGCTATAAACATGCTATGAAACACATGTGCTTTTCACTTCCAGCGTTTACGCGCCTCTGTCTTCCGTTAAGAAGCCGCTAGTGCGCATGCGCCTGGGCTGCCCTTCTCATTGCCTGAATTTTCCTACCGACCGTGTCCTCAGGGATGGCTATTATTTGTTTCCTCCTCCGATGCGTAGATAATCACATATTAAAAATGTCCAAATACTGGATCAGCTTCGAATGCAGAGAATTTAAAGCTTCACGTATTTTACTGAAAAATAATCCTTTAAACCCACCGTAGAAGCTGGAATTTAGGGATATTTCTTTTAGCTGATCATTTCTATTATGCTTAGAAGGTGAAACAAAATGGCCATTGGGACATGACGTACAAACACCAATAACACCATGTTGCTTTTCTCTAAACGTGTATAACGCCATCTGACGATCAGAACTGAACGTTACAACACAGATTCAAGACCATCAGTGGGATTACGTGTGTTTTGTAGAAAATCAGGGCTACAAACTGAGAAAGTACACCATCAAATGGGGGAAGAAGAAAAAAAAACATCAGTGTGCGCGTGCACGTGAAATGGGGCCTCTGTAACGCGCATATCAGTCTCCCGCCCATGTGCGTGACTGCGCTTCAAACCCTCGTGACAACCCCTGGCCAGTAAATGCAGCGTGAGGTGAACGCGCACTGACACAGGACCGCGCACGTCGTTCGGAATAATTTAAACGGGCACGAGTACGTGCGCGTACCCGTAGTCTTTGTGTGGCAGCATAGTGAAGCGCCAAAAGAGTGACCATGGCTGATGAGAAACCAAATGTAAGTCTTTGTGCTGTTTAACCGATAATATTAATCCATTTTATAGGTCGTGTGATATGAAACGATTAAAAACAAAGATATAATCCGGAATTTTCCATTATGGTTGTTTTGAAAGTTGTATACTGAAATGCAACTATCTGCTTTACCTACTTTGATAGACCGGAAGGTTTGGGAGCGCGCATGTGAACGCGCGCAGCCCGGTTTTATCTCTGCTTGTTCTCTCAATGTTAAGCAGCTGTTATAGTATAAACACTAGTGAAATTGATCACATGGAAATATGAAGATGCAAAACATTGTTTTCCATTTTATTACACAAACTTTATAAGTCAAAACAGATTCCTGGGGATTTTTAAATCCAAATACTAAATCTTATTTGCTCGTACTTTTTTTGGTTGCTGATTAAATTAGTTTAAAAAATGATTCATAGCTATTAAACTGTTTAATGCTCACTGAACTCATTTGTTGTGATTTTTTTTTATATGCAATGCAAAATGGAGCATCATTGTAAATAAAAAGGTGAAAGTGATAACCTATTACTCTTATAAATCAGTTATAATACCTCTTTGTGTGATTTTAGCTGTTCTGTTAAGGGCGCATTTTGATGAAGAACATAAGACATGACGAAGATATTGATTTATATATGATAAACTGATTGCTACACTGAAAATATGATCAAGAACTAAGTAAAAATTACTGTGTAAGTAAGTGTATTTACCCCTCATTTCAGTATGTAAATAAGGGGATTTGCAAATGGAATGAGCATTTTTACTCTTTAAATAAGATTATTAGGTAATATGCACTTGAAATAAGACAATGCAATAGTTTTATCTATTATATTTGTATTTAATTATTTTAAATGTAATTTGTTCTATTCCTGTCGCAAAGTTCAAGAAAAAAATGCAATTATTTCAGGAAAACATGACTTGTTTAGATGTAAATTTTTTGCACTGTCTGATCTTTATCAGTTGTTGCCATAAGGGGTGATCAAAGTCATCCTAATTGGAGCTTGGCGTTTTAATGCTTTGTGTCTGAAATGCCATGACTTTCCATGTATTGCATCAAAGCAGATCTGTGTATTCCCACGCTGATATAGTGATAATTGTGATTACGGACCAGGAAACAAATCAGTCAGCTTAAGTTGCAGAAAAGTTCAAACCAGGACTAGGTGTTGCAGTAATATAGAAAGTTGTGGACTCCCTGTAGAGCATGTTTCAAAAGATAGTGTGAAATTTAAAAAAATGCCCCACATGGAAAACACACTATGCAATGGTCATGAATGGTTGTGGCAGCATGATGCTGTGTCCTGCTCAGAGGCGATCCACAATCTGCTTTCCATCCAATCAGAAAGAGTTTAAGCTGTTTGGCTTAGAAGGGCTGGCAAAATGTAAGCCTCTAGATGTGTAAAGCTGCTGCAGATTTAACTGCAGAAAAATTAGGTTCTACCCAGCATTAACTTTTAGAGGCTGAGTATAAATAAACATCAGGCTTTTCAGATTTTTATGAAAACAAATGCTTAACATTTTCCTTCTGCTGTACAATTAGACACCACTTTTACTCAGTCTGCCTCAGAAAATCCCAATGAATAACCTTCCCTAGCAAACAGTGACCCTTAACTCTAATTCCCAACCTCTCTCTTCTTTTATCTTTTATCTTTTCACTCAGGAGGGCGTCAAGACGGAAAACAACGAACACATAAACCTGAAGGTAGCAGGACAGGATGGATCTGTCGTGCAGTTTAAGATCAAAAGACACACGCCGCTCATCAAACTCATGAAGGCTTACTGCGAGAGACAGGTGGGCAAATAGCCTCTCAGATGTAAGGAATCCTGCAGTCGTTCTCATCCAAACATAAGATTATTCCCATTTTACTAAAAAAGGCTGTTTACTGTTATCGACCTGATTACAATATCAACACAAATGCTACACACCTTTATTCTTCATTTTGTAGTGCGGGATGCTAGAAAAGGTTTGATCATGAGATATTACTCAAACGAAAAGCAGAAGGTAGTAGAACATCTGACCCATTTATTTTAGATTTCTATTTTTTTGTCTTAATGTCAGTAACTGTACTTGGACCCTTCCCTGTATGTTGCAGCTTTTAGTCATAAAGTAAATCTGTGTGGAAACATTTTCGCACAGTAAAGTTCTTACCATCTAACAAACGTTAAGGATAATCCGCTTCTGAATTAATTTTTTAAAAGGACCAGCTAAGGAGCTTGTTTTTATTTCAGAGCAGCACCTCTAAACTATGCACTTGTCTTTCTCGTTTGAGAAGCGAAATTGTTTTGTAATTATTACCTTTTTACAAAGCACTAGGAATTTATTCACTGTGATGTTAAGGTTCTGGCTCAAATTGTGACCTTAGTGACTCAGTTAATTAAGATGTAATTAAGATTTCCCTTGACATTAAATTAGTGACATTATGTTATGAATCAGGCATCATGTTTTAGCTGAACAATGTCTAATCCACTGCAGCTCACTTAAGGTCAAATGTAGAGACTAAAAGCCATGAAATTGTTTTATCTCATCCAGCTTTGTTTAAATCTAAAAAATGAACTGTTTTTTCATCATATTTCAATGCACACTATTTAACCAAACACATTTAAATGTAAATCCCTTTATCGCATCTTACCCCTTTCCCTTGGGGAGCAGTGGGCTGCCATTGTGCGGTGCCCGGGAGCAGTCTGGGGTTAAGGGTCTTTCTCAGGGACCCAGAGTTGAGGCTGTGTGAATAAGTGGGAGTCAGAACCTCCGGGACCCAAGCGCAATGCTCTAACCACTAGGCCACCACTCCCCTACCTTACACATCTGCATTCATATGATGAATGAACAATCATTATCCATCATTTTATGGGACTTTACGATGCAAACAAACAACTACTATTCTTTGGCTAGCAGCTGAATCCAGGCTCATTACTGGATTTCCAGAAAGCAGATCTATTCCTCTTCAGAGCTAGAGTCCAGGAGGTTTACCACAGTGGTTTTTAAACGTTGGATGCCCCAGCCTGCATCAAATAACAGTATTCATGACTTACCACTAATGGCTGCATCTGACATAAATGTTTATGACCAATTATGTGATGAAGCAGGGAAACACCGGAAGCACCCAGGAGAGTAGATCTGGAGGAGCCAGTTTGAAAAATACAATTTTACACCACTGGACAAGTTGTCTTTGTGATGTGAGGCTTGGATGCAGCTGTTTGGCCATGGAATCACTTTCCATGAAGCTCTCTGCGTTCTGTTCTTGGGCTAATCTAAGGGCCACGTCACATTCTGCTTTCAGTACCAATCAGGGACTCACTGAGCTCCTGAGAGGGACCCATTCCGTCACAGATTTTTTTAGAAGCAGTTAAGGTGCTGGGGTTTATACACCATGGAGGTAAAGGGAAATGACACATTTGGAAATACTTTCCTTCCAGAGGGTGAAAGCAGGCAGCAGTGTCCATTTCTTCCAGCTGCAAAGGAACTTCTAACCAGCACCAACAGGAGCTCCAGTTGTTACACCTAGAGCATTTATTACGTTTGTAAGACATAACAAGAAAAAGAGATATCCCAGACTGTACATGTCTACTTCTCATTGCTACAATCTATACATTTACTGGATTTTCCTCATAAGAAGATTTGCTCCATGTGGTGGCACAGGTTGTAGTACTGTTGCCTTACAGCAAGAAGGTTCTGGGTTTGAATCCCCGCCCGGGGTCTTTCTGCATGGTGTTTGCAAATTCTCCCTGTGAATGCAAGGGTTCTCTCTGGGTTCTCTGCCCTCCTCCTGTCCAAAAACATGACTGTTAGGTTGAATGGTATATCTAGATAGTCCCTAAGTGTCTGAAAGTGTGTGTGTATGTATGGTTGTGTGTCTCTATGGGGCCCTGCAACAGACTGGCAACTGGTGGAATAATAGATAGGTGGTTATTTTCAAAATCAGATTTTAATCTTAAGCATTTATTGCACTAGAGTGTCAGTGCACAAGACTGTCGTTAAATTTTAAAATCTTTATATGGGTTCAGAAAGTGATTTTCATGCTGCTTTGGTTCTGATTCGCATGTTTGACTTCCATTGCCAATTTCTTTCCAAGCTCAGGGACAATGAAGTCTGAGGTTGTTGCTGTAGAGCAATAAAGTCCTTGATACTGAAGCAGATTCACCCAGAAAGTCTTGGTTTTGTACCAACATTGACTATGTTGGTGTGTTTTAAGGCCATCAAACAAACACATTCCTCCTCTTTTAGGTCTTTGATTGTTGTCTTATTATTAGCAAACTTAGGTTGTTGCATAAGTGTTTTTAATGTGGATTGTGACTGTGAATGACAAGCGTTTTACGTCTTCCCAGGGACTTTCGATGAGGCAAATCCGGTTCAGATTTGACGGACAGCCAATAAATGAGACAGACACACCAGCACAGGTAAGGCGGGAAGATGACATGAATGACTTCTATAGGGCAAGCTACTTTAGTATTTGTTTAATTCATTTATATACGTATGTAAACTCTTCAAGGGGCCATTTGCTGAAAGGTAACCCAGGTAGAGCAGTAAGCAAATACTGTAAAAATTGAATCATTTTGCATTTGAAAACCCTACTTATCCAGAACTCCTTTAAGCACATTTAAGTTTGTGTATTTTTTATTTTTTTTCCGCCATTTGTCAATGCAGTTAAAAATGCTTGTTTATAAGTTCAAAGACTTGTTTTAGGTCAGTAATTTGGTAAGAGTATCTCTTTAAAGATTTACTGGAAAATGAAAATTGCTGAATTATTCAATTACTAAAATAACTGACAGCTGCGGCCTTGGATTTGATCATCTTTGGCTTATTGAATAAAGAAAGGAGCCTTCTGTCATGAGCTTGAATTGGGAATTGTTGACAAGATATCCACGTTGTTATTCTTCAAATGTTCTGATAAAATAAATCTAATTATTCGGAATATAAAAGAAACAACACATAAGAAATAGTACTTGAAATTGTGAGGGATGAATAATTTTTTCCAGCCAGGAAGTGCCGTGGTGTAAGAAGGCCAAGGATTTCTTAATAACCAAAAGACTTTTAATTAATAAAAAAAACAAAGCCACTCTTTTGGAACTACATAAGTCAGGTCTTTTTTCTTTTTTTGCTTATTTAAATGTAAAACCTAGATCTGCTTCTATTGTTTTAATCTTTTTCAAGTTTATTTTTAACTCGAAATTGCTGAGTGATTATGCATTTATCCATTACCCTTTTTTCCGTTAAGAGGACGTTTTCTTGGGATGCACTGAAAAGTGCATTTTCAGTTTTCGGCCAATAGAAATTTAACGCCAAAACAATACGGATGAAACTTGCGATGACTCGACAAACAGCACATCAAGCACGAGGGGGAAAGGATCGCAAGCAAACAGTACAGCCAATATGCAGAAACGTTAACTGTGTGAAGTAAAGTACTGAAGTAAGATTGCACAGGTGGTGGAGCAGAGTTTGTAATTGAGTGCGTGGCTGACAGGTTCTGAGTGATGGTGCGTGAGTTTGAACTCTGCACAAAGGTCTCAATGCGTGCTCAGTGGCACAAATTGCCATAGAAATCCAAACGTCCACATTCTGAATATGAGAAGAATTCGACACAGAAAAGGGAGCTGTTACCAAACATGGCCACTGTCTGTGGTGACGTGTTTGGAAACGCAAGAAAGTTTTACAGATATTCTGCCAAGATAAAGGACATGACATTGCCAGTGGTTAATAAATTCAAATTAATTCAAAAAACTTTATTAATCCTCTCAAAGGGAAATTAAATAAACATTTACATATATATATATATATATATATATATATATATATATATATATATATATATATATATATATATATATATATATATATATTAGGGGTGGAACGGTTCACAAAATCCATGGTTCGGTTCGATTCAAGGTTTCGTGGTCACAGTTTTCAGTTCGTTTCAATTCGGTAATGTTGATTGTTACACCAAAATCCCATAAAAATTTATGAAATTAATGAAAAAATCCCCCGAAAATAATGGATTGTAATTAGTTTTAATGATCCGCGGAAACCCTGGATCATTTCCGTATGTTTTGCTGCTTTGAATTTAATCATCTCGCGCATGCTCTCTACCATCTCCAAGGGACTCAGAGGGGAGCGGACGGGAGCCACAGTGGGGGCTGTAGGCTTTGCTTTGAGCAGCCGGTCTGGAGCGCAGCGGGGCAGAGCGGTGGTTGCTGACGGAGTATGAGGGATTTCGGGGTTAGCATGACATGTTGGTCATGTTGCTGTTAGCATAAACAAAACGTGTTGCACAATGCTTGCACACTGTTGCACTTTTATCCACAACTTTCTTTCCGCCATCATCGTAGGTCACTCTAAATGCAAAGTGGTCCCATACAGCAGACCTATAAAGTGCTGCTGGCGCGTCTTCCAACTCCTGTTCTTTCCCACTCGCCATACCCACACAATTCTCCACAACAACTGATTTTTTTCTGCTACACCCGGCTAAGCTGCTTCGCTTCTTCTTCTTGTTTACTACTGGTGGTTGGCTTTAGTCTCAGTACCGCCACCTTCTGCTCTGGTGTGTAACCGCTTCGCCTATGAGAAAAAAGAACAGCGCATGAACCGAACAAAACACACGCGAACCGAACCGAGACAGTCGCACCGAACGGTTCGGACGGTTTTCATAAATCGTCCCATCCCTAATATATATATATATATATATATATATAATTAATTTGAAAGGGTTAGTAGACATTGTAGCCAATGCCAACTGAGCTTCTCTCAGTGTTTTGGTTTTCGGCATTAGTATCCTCATGTTTTTGTTTTCAGTTTTGGCCAATAATTTTCATCTTGGTGCATCCCCACAATTTTTCTTTACTCGTCATCTCAGCCCTGGGGTTAAAGTTTCTCAAATAGACAATAGATCCATCTTTATAAATGCAATTATCAGTCATGTAATTGGGGAGCAACCTGCCACTCGCTGCCTCTATGCAGGTCATGGTGCTGACATTATAAGCCTTTAGCGCCTCTGGCAGTGGCAATGCACCACTCTCAGTCCCAGTCGGGCCGCTGAGTTAAATATGTCTCTGCAGACAGATGCCAGTTACACTCACAGCAGCTTGTGGTTGAGGTCGTCACAAATCATTATTGTATTGTTCTACACGGCTAGGCAAGTCTGCATTCCCTTTGCTGCTGTCAAGAAAGGCAAATACAGCTTGCCGTTTCAGTGGCCAGCCTTTCTGTTTGATGCCTGCAGACCATAGAATTCATTTTGTATAGAGCAAAGTGTCACCCTGAGCCCAACTACCAAAGAATTGCAACCTTTTAACATTTAGATTTTGCCTTTTGATGTTTGTCGTAGAGCATGTTTTAAAACTGTTGTATTGACAGGCTGGGCAAGGGGGAATTAATCAAAGAAGCAAACAAAAAGAGCAGCTGCAGTGATAAGAGATTAATATTTTTTTTGTCTTAGACACATATCTTTGCATTAAAATAATGTTTAACATTTACAAAAATATAGGAACCATTTTACAGCACAGATGGAAGAACATTGGGAAGGCTTTTTGACACAAACCTCACAAATCTGACCTTAATGGAAGAGTTTCCCTTAGAGGGATGGATAATAGTGGAGACTAGTCACAGTTAATGGGATAAAAAAAAAAAAAAAATAGGTAATTGTGGAAGATCTGTTACAGACTCCAAATAATCTTTAAAATGCAGCAGAGGCCCATGTCACTACCCGATCCGTGCCATCAGCTCGTTTGTGCAACCAGATATACGTCCAGGTTGCCCTCGATTTTATTTTATAAAAAAGTTTTATTTAGGGAGGAAAGTTTTTTTCCTCCCTAAATATAATAAGCATACTAAAGTATAACGTGTCAAAGGTTAATAAAGTATTTTCTTAAAAAAATCAATGCATTTAAATCCTTTCTGTTTTTTAACTCATCTTTTATCCTATGCTACTTCCGGAAGGCAACTTTTACGGCTTTGGAGTTAAACATAAATTGAGTCTTTTTGAGTTTTATGTTTTCCCTTTCTGTTAACATTATGGTATAAAGTGCGTAACCTAAAGAAAGAAACAACTTAAATACAGATAAACATGGTTTAATTGTATTTTGCCGGACTATTCTGAGCATGTCCAAATATGACGTCAGATAAGCAGTTTAACGGAAAAAATGTAAAAAGCATCAAAATGGTTTGTATTTACATTCTTTAATGATTTAAGGATAAAAAATAAGTCATTTTAGTACCAGAATTAAATTGATTATGGAAACCTAGATGTATATCTGGTTGCTCATGGGCAAATGAGCTGATGGGATGGATCAGGTAGTGACAGCCAACCTTACAACTGGAATATGAATGATGTTTCAGTTTAGAGCAACAGTAGAAGGGTTCAGACATGTTGGACCCAAATCCAAGTAAACAACAGGGTTTAAGGTTAGGCACTGTACATTAATATTCTCCATCCAATCTGACAGAACTTTAACTATTTTGACATGAAGCATAACATGGATTGATTTAAATGACTTTGATGTAATTGCATGGTATGATTGAAAAAAAAATCTATATTGATCTCCCTTTCATTATCACACAAACAAGTCAAAGAAAACCCAATGGAGTCTTAATTATAAGAATAAACCGATATAAAGTGCTGCAGTAGGGGAAGTATGGGCTGGTATGAACTTCTGAGGTATGATATAACTTTAAAGCCATTGCATTATTTTGAAATTTATTAATAAAAAATAAATAAATATTTGAAAAGTTTGCTAAACTGGTCTGATCTTTTCATGATGTCATAGTCATAGTTAGCTCTAATTGTCAGCTGTGGAAGCTGTTTAAGATCTAAGGTGTATTGTAGAAGTGTCCCTCCAATGCAGGGTTCACTTCCCTTCGTGGTGCACTTTCATATTTATGTATAAAGTTTATACGTGACAGGGTGACTGCAGGTTCAGAATGCTCCCCTTCTCCAGCTAACATGTAGTCTGCAGAACTAGCAGCTACAGGGGGCCATGGGGGGAGGGCTGGTGATGCTGCAGGTGCACCTAAGGGAGCCAACAAATGTTTTCTGAGGAGATTTATGTATAAATGAATACTTATACCACAAAAAAGTTTGACTGAAACCAGGATTTTTAATATGGTGGTGTAATGCAAAACCGGTAACCATCCCATGCCTTCTCAGGGCTCTAAAATCAAATGCATGCCGCACTTTTTAGATTACCAAACCCCTTTAGCATGATTATGTTCTGCTATCTTTTACATCAAATCTGTATAAAATACAGGTTTTTGATTCTAACCTGTGGATAGAGGTGATGGGTATGGACACTTTTTTTCCTGTAACAACATTATCTGCTTTTCTTTGCAGTTGGAAATGGAAGATGAGGATACGATCGATGTGTTCCAACAACAGACGGGGGGTCTGATCTAACCGACCACAGCTGCCGTCTTTTTGATTCCAACATGACTGACTTCCCCAGCCCGTTAACACCCAGCGGCTGGCTATTGGCAACTTCTCCAACAGTCTCAACATAATTCTTACAGAGGAGGTTTTACATTTCTGTGCTTCACAAAAAAAAAAAAAAAAAAACTGCTGTAAAGAATTTCTATTCATGCCCCTGTTACTGTTTTTGTCTTTGTACATAAATTACACCCTGAACACATTGCATTCTTTTGTTTTGTTTGTTTTCGTGCTGTTTTGTGATAAATTTGTAGAAGTTTCCCTCCCAGATTGAAGGTTCGTTCTGCACAGACTCAGAAAAATATTGAGAGCAGATAAAAATGAAAGTTTTTTTGATCTTGTTATTTACTGTTAAGCTAGGCTTGATAATTGTCTAGCAGATCTCTTCTTAAGCTGTTATGTTTTGGGTCTGGCTGTCATTTAGTGAGCAGCATATCCAATCTTGGGAACACGACTTGGTTGCTGTTTAACTCTGTAATCAGGGAAAACAAATCTATACTTTTTATATTGTACTGGATGTTAAGAGTACTCATTTTACTTCACCACTTCATACTTTGGGAAGGCTAAAAGGATGTTTTGGTTAAATATACATCTGTATTGTTTATTCAAATGCCTGTTAAAATAAAGTTATTGTCCTCTTTCCCCCAAAGGTTTACTTGTTTACATTTTCAGATCTAGGAATGAAACTCTTATGCGAGATCCTTGCAGATCAGCCAATTTTTGTCCTCCTTTCTTTCTTTATTGCGGTTTAAACACTTCAACTGGACTTCCTGGCATATTATTTGCAACCTGTAGTACAATGGGTGCTTTTAGTGGTGCTTTTTGACATTTGCAAAGTAAACAAAAGGGTGTGAAGGGGTTCGAATCCGGCCTGTGGTCCTTAGCCGCATGTCTCGCCCCCGCTCTCATGCCCCCTTTATTTGTCAGCCTACCGTTTAAAAAAAATGAGCCACTAGTGCCGTAAAAAACTGAAAAAAAGCAAAGTAAACAAAATTAATATGAGCCTTTATGCAATAAATCACTTGTTAAAATAACAAAGTGTAATTGGTTCATCAAATGTTAAGTTTCACAGGCTCTCATAATTAGTGCTCTGCATTAACCAAAAGGATCAGAAACTAGAACTTGGGGATAGTTATATATGTTCTTGGTATTGTATTTCTGGTATTATGTCCTTGATATATATTTTGCAACGTAATCTAAGTACTATTTCTTTCACTGAAAACCATTTTTTGCACTAAAAACAGATTTACTTTCAGTCTTTAACTGGGCCATAGTGCCTAATTTTGCCATAATAAATTGCCACAGTTATACAGTGAACAGATTACACTGTTTTTAGCTTCAATAATAGTAGCCATTGATGGTAATAATCTTGTGTGAGGGCTGCAATTAAGTTGGAGAATCACAATGTCGATGAATAAAAGTTAAGTGCAATTTTGGCAATTCAAATGTAAAGCTAGATTCAAAACTTGAATTTTGGCCTTAAAAACTTGAAAATATAGTTGTAGAAAGTATATTTTAGCATCTACAGCATCAAAATGCATATATTTTATTGTGCCTTGGCTGCTTACTGCAGGGGCCCTCTACATGCACAGATGACTTCTAGTACCCTGCACCATTAGAGGTGGACCCCAGTGCAGGATCACTTTTGCACTGGTGAGGCAAGTTCTTATCAGTAAATATATTTAATATATGTCCTTAGTATTCGAATTGAAAATTTAAAATGCATCTGTGACTGTACAAAACTACATTTAAGAAATTGTGATCCTGACTTCCTTAGATAGAAATGGAAGCTCTTTCTTCGGCTGGGGTTAATGTTAATCCCAGATTGCACTTCTAATACTGCACATTTGTTCTATAATGAACTTCCTAAAAGTTTAAATGCAGTTTTTATTATATTTGCTTTTCAAATAACAGATAACACTTTTATAAACCCACAAATGAATTCAAGCACTATGGAATATGGCCTCAGGGATGTGGGCTGCCTGGTCACTGACGCTTGCCACCAACAAGAGGTTTGACCGCTGAGCCTCTCGACCAATCAGAAGGAGCCTCTGTGCGGTCATATCCAATCAGAGTACGTGATTCGGCCATTGGGCTGAGTCTGAACGGCTGGCACCGCAGAAGCAACAGAACTCTTCTTCTTATGGTTTTTTTCCCCAGTCTCGGGTGGAGTCTACATCTCGTCGCTTCTCTGCGGGCAACGAGGAGGATTTTTTATTTTTTATATTAGTTTGAGTGTTGCTCGCTGACCGCCGAGACATTGGAACGGCTCCTCGAAGATGACGACGACCACCACGTTTCAAGGGTTAGACCCCGGTACTAAAAGCAGCTCCAGGTAAAAAAATAAAAAAAGAAGGAGCCGTTGAATATTTTCTACGGAGGAACAAAAGGAGTGGGATGCGGGGAGACGGCTTGCTTCGTTTAAAGGCAGTCCGCGAATGGTGGTGAAGGGTATAACTGGATTGAACTAAACTGTCACATAGAGCTGCTAATTGAGTTAATCTTATTGGGTCGCAGAAGCACCATACCCTTTAGCCACCATAAGTTAGTTTGGTAAGCCTGCAGTGTGGGCTTTAGCCAGGAGAGCTGGACTAAAATAGAAAGAAAAACAAGATTTTTTTTTCTGTTTTCCGTTTTAAGAAGTGCACAAACCTCCCTCAACTATTCTTTTGTTGTTACAACTAAATGTCTTTCTGTGTTCTGATAAATTGAACCTTCAGTATTTTTACATTCTTATTAATAGCATGTGACTGCCTAGAGTAGACTTTAAGTCTGCATTCATCTTAGTCTCTGTGATTTGGGTGAAAGGGAAATTAATCAGTCATGATAAACGGCTTTTTTTTTATATGTGCTTTAAAACAGACCACCTCATGCTTAAAGCATGCAGTCATTCCTTTCCTGTAAGTGATGCATATGGTCTGAATGAATTCCTCCCCTTTGCAGTAAAAAACAAAACAAAAAAAAAACAGAAAAGCTACCTTCCTTTACTTCTCTGAATTTATATTTCTATAGAAATAGATGTATATTTTCTAGATTTTGGGAGGTAAGCCTGTCAGATGTCGGCTGTGAGATTGCAAGCTGCTTTTGGGTGATGTAGGGGGCTTGGGTGGGGGCTAACTAAGCCTCTAAATCTTATCTTAGCTCTTTGCTTTTGGTCTCTAAAGCCCCCCCCCCCCCCCCCCCCCCTTTTTTTTTTACAATTTGGTGGTCATTTCTGTTTCCGTATGTCTAAATAAGATCCAGAGAGCAGCTTTTTTAACAAAGAGATCAAATCTTTGTAGGTCATCAGCGACCCTCCTACCCCTGCTTTATCACACATTCCATCTTTGACTGTGGAGCTACTGCATCTGCCCTTTAAACTGCCCTCTTGCTCCCTATAACAGATGATTATTTTATTGATAGTGTTTCAGTTTGATCTAGGGTGGGGTCAGCTGCCCTGCTGCTAACAGCTTTCCCCTTCTCATCACAATCCATGTGGAAACCATGAGCTCATCCCTTTCTGGCCGGGGGATAAAGTCTGGTTTAGGCATTATTGTCACAGCCGTGTGTGAGGGACACCAAAAAAAAAAGGATCAATTGAAGAGTGCTGTGCAGATATGTCTCTGGTTTATTTCCTTTGTATGGTTGGAGGAGGTGAGGTGTTTGTTGGGCTCCATCTGCCTGCCCGGCCTTTCGGACAGCTGCTCCGTGTGTCAGCTGGTGGCTTCAGGGACTCCAGGAGAGGAGAGTTTGCTGAAAAGAAGAGGGAGGGGTCCGACATGGGCTGTTCTAGCAGATTGGTATCTGTCATCCACCCCAACTGTCGCTCCACATAGTGAACTTTTAAAGACTTCCCTGCACAGTTTTGTGTCTCTGAAAAGTAGAGCTGAAACAACTAATCAGATTAATCATGATTATTTGGTTATTAAAAATAATCATCAACTAATTTAGTAATTGATGAATTGTTAACTGGAGTATAGAGACTCTGAAATTTGTCTTAAGCTAACAGAGCAACCAACTTAGAGCAGTAATTATACCAAGATTGTAAAGAAATATATAAACAATAAATAGATAACGTTTTCGTCTATCAAGATATTCTGTCCAGAACTCCTCAAGTGCAAAAGTTTTGGTTTCACCTGGTTTAATTTCATTTAAAAAGTCTTCTTTAAGGAACATTTTGCCCTCCGATTATCAATGATTGATTGCAAAAAATGATCAACTGATTAATCCATTTGTAAAGTAATCATTAGTTGCAGTTCTACTGAAAAGTAAACTAAACGTACTAAATGTATAATGACCTTTACAGACTCATACCTCAGTTCCTGGATTTTGGTCCAATAGAAACCCCTAATTAAATTGAAGCTGTGATTCTAAATGAGTCCAAAAATGAACAAGTCATTGTGTGTCATGGCTAAAGAATATGCTGAGATGAGGCTGCAGCTAGCTTGCTAAGTCTGCGATTAAAGGCGAGCAGAGTCAGCTGAAGGGCAGAGATTGTGACTGAAAGGCTGACAACCGCTGCTTAGACCCACCGGTCGCTCTATGTGTTTAGTAAAGGGGGGAATTTGAGCCTAAGGGCATCCTCATGTTGTATTTGCTCATTGATTTATTGATTTTCTTTTTTTTTTTTTTTTTTTGCACAGCTGCTTTTTGTTTTGAGCTGTTAAAGCCTCCCGTTACACTATTGTTACAGTCTTTGTTTTTAATCCCTAAGGGTACTACGGCCGCCCGGTGGGGAGTCCAACTTCTCTCTTGGCACAGATGAAGACGCAACCCCCAACCGCAAGAACAAGATGGCCTCTAGCATCTTCGCAGAACCGGATGACCCCCATGCTCATCGAAGGAACAATCCACCAAGTGAGTTGAGCTGCCAAACATAATCAAAGCTGCAGGAGCTTTACATCTGCGGGATGACTGTGGCTGAGTTTAGTGGAGTCTAGAACTTCTAGAAGCCCCCATTAAACCAAAAGTACCATGTATTTATTGAGCCCAAATACAGTACCATCTTTTTAATAACTCCCACTTTAACCACAAACATTAGACCAACTCAATGTAGTGCATCATTGTAGAGGAACCAGCATTTATTGGTTTTTTATGTTTCTATTAGCTTTTGTACATTTGAGAATGAGAATATGCTCTTACACTTCTTTGGAAATTAAGCAAATATGTCCTATCTCTGTGACATTATATAG